ACACACACACACACACACACACACACATATATATATATACACACACAAACACCATATATTATGTTTTTGCTATGATGCTGTCCTGATATCTTCAGTCAATCAGTGATACTTTTTTTGCTGAAAAAAACATTAGAATTATTCTGGATTCCCACCCACCCCCTTCCAAAAACTCTTTTTTTTTTGCATTTGGGGAAGGAATGAGATTTTTTTTCCACATGATCTCCTGCAATCTTTCTGTGCTGCGCTAATCCACTGGTTACAATCGGCCTCATAATTTCCTTTTCTTTCTTTAGATGGCTCTTTTCAGAGAATCGCTTTTGAAAGAGGTAAGTCTCTCCTGCGCAACAAATGTTCAATAAATATTGGATATTTTCCCCCTTCCCAGGTAACTAATTCCTCCCTCCCTTTTTCTTCCTTCTTTCCTCTTCTGTTCCTTTCCTTCCTTCCCTTTTTTCTTTCTTTCCTACCTTCCTTCTTTCCGCCTTCCTTCGTTCCCTTCTTCATTCCTCTTCTGTTCCCTTCCTCCCTCCTTCTTTTCTTTCCTTCCTTTTCTGTTCCCTTCCTTCTTTCCTTCCCTTTTTTTTCTTTCCTTCCCTTTTCCTTCTCCTTCTGTTTCCTTCCTTTTCTCTCTCCCTCTTTCTTTCTTTCTTTCTTTCTTTTTCTTTCCTCTCTTTTTATTTCCCTGCAGGGTGAAGAATTCCTTTGCACATTTTTACCTTCCAAAATATTTCAGTTGGATAAGTTTCTTAAGGTAAGTGAATATCTGAAACCAAAGATTTATTGGCAGGGCATCTCTGCGTGTGTGTTTTTTCAACAGCGTAACTCCTTCTCCACCCATCTAGGAAAATTCACTAAACGTGCAAGATTTGACCACTCTTAAAGCTCCTTTGGAGATCCCTATTCCAGACCCCCCACCCAAAGAAGACGAGGTGAGTTATGGGGGTAGTTCTCTCCTTAGCTTCCCCCCCCCCATTTAATGTAACTTTTAAGAGGTGGGAAATGTTATTTATGCATCAATATATTTTATTCCTTGCAGATGGATACAGAAAAAGAGGAGAAGGAAGGTAAGGATGAGGAAGCGAGGGAGGCAGGAAGGAGAGGGGGAAGGATAGAAGAAAGGGAGAAAGGAAAAAAGAAAAAAAGAAAGAGGAAGGAAAGAGAAAGAAAGAAGGAAGAAAAGAGAAAGGGAGGAAGGAAGGAAAAAAAGCAACAGGAAGGAAAGAGAAAGGGAAGGAAGGAAAGAGAAAGGGGGGAAGGAAAAAAGAAAGCAACAGGAAGAAAAGATAAAGGGAAGGAAGGAAAGAAAGGGGAGAGAGAAGAAGGAAAGGAGGAAGGAAGGGTGGAAGGAAAGAAAAAAGAAAGAAATAGGAAGGAAAGAAGGAAAGAGAAAGGGAAGGAAGGAAAGAAAGGGGGAAGGAAAAAAGGAAGGGTGGAAGGAAGAAAGGGAGGAAGGAAGAAAGAAGGAAAGAATAGGAGGGAAGAAAAAGGAAAGAAAGAGAAATGGGGAGGGAAGAAGGAAAGGAGGAAGGGTGGAAGGAAGGAAAAAGAAAGGAAGGCAAGAGGAAGGGGGAAGGAAGAAAGGAAGAGTGGAAGGAAAGAAGAAAGGGAGGAAGGAAAAAAGAAGAAAGAAGGAAAGAATAGGGAAGAAAAAGGAAGGAAAGAAGGAAAGAGAAAGGGGGAGGGAAGAGGGAAAGGAGGAAGGGTGGAAGGAAAGAAAGATGAAGGAAGGAAAGAAAGAACCAGGGAAAGAAGAAGAGGAGGGAGGGAGAAATAGTGGAAGGAAAGAAGGGAGGAAGGAAAAAAGAAAAACGAAGGAAGAAAAAGAAAGGAAAGAAGGGAGGGAGAGAGGAAGGAAAGAGAGAAAGAAAGAAAGAAAGAAAGAAAAGAGAAAGGAGGAATGGATTTTCCCAGCATTTGATGGACTTAATTTCTCTTCTCCTCCGATTCCCAGCTCCAAAGTGTGGTTATCTTAAAGGAAACAAAGTTCTCATTTCACTTCTGGATCGCGTGAAACCTGAAGTTCGCGAGTTTAAAGAAAAATGCATTTTGGTAAGTGGGCCGAACGCGGGTCTCCTCCCTCCCCTAGTTCCGATTGGCCAGGAGTTTCCTCGCGGTTGTGCATCGGCTGAACAACGAAGGGGATTTGCGCATCATCCCCCCCCCCCGCAAAATCACTTCCATCTTCCCTTCTTCCTGATTCCCGCCGTTAGGTCACGACCTGGATCCAGTTCATGATCCCCAAAATTGAGGATGGCAACGACTTCGGGGTGGCGGTTCAGGTAACCAGAATCGGGGGCGGGAGGGGAGGAACGGGGACTTTCTCCGTCCCCGCCAAATTTTTATTTCCCTGGCTGTGGGAATCTCCTGGCTGGCACACCTCAACCGTTTCCTTCCTGTGCAGGAGAAAGTGCTGGAACGTATCACAGCGTTGAAGACCAAGGCTGAAGCTTTCCAAACCACCATGGCTAAGTACGTAGTCCCGAAGGGCCGGCGCGGAAAGGAGGCAAAGCAGAGATCCCTGTGGGATCTGGGTTCCAGGGTAGCGGGAATTGTCCGCTGTACTCGGGCGCTGTTCGCTCCTGTTGGTGTTCCTGCGCCCCAAAACTTTTGACCAAACTTCATGGGGGTCCTTTCTCACCTTCGTGGCGTCATGCATGTCAGAATCTGTGCTTCTTGGGGTACATCATAGACAGTGCTTCCTTATTAACTGTGCGCGCAAGCATCCTGGGTAATCTTTCCCTTAGCGAAGGTGCTGGCCACCGGAGAATCAAATCAGAGGAGGGGGCGTGGGAGTCAGGGTCAGCGTCAAAGCAACCTGAGAGCGCGCGGGGAGGTGGGGGGAAGCCTGGGCCATCCGTCAGCCCTCTGATGGAGAGTCAACAGCTCCCAGGTCTGGAGGTGGCTGATGAGGAAGAGGAAGAACAGCTGGGTCCGGTGTCTAATGCACAGAAGGCAGAGGAGAGGAGAACAGTGGAAATCTATGGGCCGGTCCTTGGGACAGCTGCTAGTGAAGCAGAAAAGACAAAGAGAGGAGAAAAATAAGAATAAGCATTACTGATAGACGAGAATATTTGTAGCTCAGGGTTGAATCGTCAGGTTCTTCGGTGCTTTGTGAGGTTGGTTGCCTTCTTGTAGACATTTCTTCACCCAGCTAGGTGACATCAGCAGTGTTAGCAGGAGTGGGAATGGTGGAGGAGGAAAGGAAAGGAATGGGGGGGGGGAGGAGGAGATGAAGTAGAAGAAAGAAGAGGAGGAGAAAGATGAAAGAGAAGGAGGAGGAAGAGATTAAAGTGGAGGAGGAAGAGGAGGAGTCCTTCGTGCTCTCTGAGTGGTTTTCGTGCAGCCCTTTCATTACCAAACTAGGTAACATCATCAGTGCACCCACCCCACCCCCCATGGAAAAGCATTGTTAGGTAAATTTCGGCGCTCTGGAGCCGTGACACAATCAATAAAGCTAAAAAAAAACAAAATGAGAGGAAGACAAATTGATGTTGAAATCAGAAGATGAGGATTGAATCCATCTGGAAACAGCGACAGGGAAGTGATTCTGGAATTCTAGTACACGTCAAACGGTGCGGTGGCCTAGAGGTGGCGCTCTCGCCTCACAATCAAGAGGCTCTGGGTTCGATCCTCGGTAGAGGCAGATATTTCTCTCTCTCTGGGCAGGATGAGAATTTGTCTGCTGAAGATAACTCCTCATTGGCGACAGGGCGAGCAGCTGGCCAGTAAATGCTCGGCTCCATTCCCTTGTCCAAATTCCACCCCGCAAGGGATTATGGGTCATTAAAAGAAGATGATGTTCTCTTTGTCCTTTTTCATCTAGGAGGGTCATGGCCTTATATTTTTATTTTCTGTGTAGGCACTAGTCCAGAGAAAGCTAGTTTGGTGTGTAGTTGGGAAACTGGGTGATTGTAAGTTCTAGCCTTGCTTTCTCGTTCTCGTAGATATTTTCTGGAGCGTGGAGATGCGGTCGCCAAGGCCTCCAAAGACACTCACGTGGTAAGCGACGCAGAGAGAAGATTGCAAATTATTTGACGTCTGTTGGGTGGCAGGTCTGATAGGAAAATTTGGGGTGTCCTTGTTTCCCCCCTCCCCCACCCCAACTAAAGGCAGGGAGAAACAAGCAGCGGAGCTGGAAGCCAATTCGGACAGTGAGGAGGTTGGGGAGGAAGATGGGCCAGTCCTGGAGTCTGGGAAAGGCTCTGATGAGGGCTCTGTGTAAGAGGCAGAGAGGGGGCCAGGGCCGTCCAACAGTTATCAGCTGCCTTCGGAGTCAGATATCAGTGAGGCAGAAGAACAGCTGGAGCCTGTTCCCAGTGTGCGTATACACAGAGCTGCTAGAGGAAGGGAACAGCTAAAGAACAGGGATCGACTTGAGAGTAAGGCCGCAGGTGGACGGTGAATGGCCCCTCCCAGAGGAAATAAAAGAGGAGCGACAGGGGAGTGGAGTTTGCAGGAGTTCGCTTCATTGGTTCGTGACTCTCCGAGACTCCTGGCTAAGTTGCGCAGCTGGCGGCTCTCCAAGCCAGATAAGGTCTGTGACTGTAAATCCTCCCTTGAAAGANTGCCTCTGAGCATGGGCAGAGCGCCCTTCTTCCCTTTCCCAGTTTGCTAGCTAGGTCGAAAAAAGTTGATTTTTTTAAGGGTTCGAATCGCGGTGGGGAAAAAACTCTGCACAGGCTCAGAGGCCTGGAGGGGGGAGGGAAAAAACACCAAGAGGAGAAAAATAACATTTGGGTTTTGTTTCGGCATGGCAACAAAACTTGCTACTTGTTTGTGTCTTTTAAAAAAAAAGAGGGGATTGATTTTTGTTGATTCACGTGTGGATTTCCTAAGGGAGTTTGCCAACTTTGGAAAAAGTTGGGGAAAAAGGAGGAGGAATAGTTCAACCAATTGGGGGAAAACTTTAAATCAGTTTCTCCCTTCCCCAACTTGGGGCCAAGTGGACTTCAACTCCCAGAACTCCCCAGCCAGCCTAAAGGGAATTCTGGGAGTTGAAGTCCACAGGGCTTCAAACAGGCCAAAGTTTGGGGGGAATGCTGAACATGATTTCCCTTGGGAACAAAGGATCGGAGAAACATTCGATTGAAAACGTTTCAATCGAATCTCCTAGCTGGGAAGGGAAAAAAATAAGCGCTTTTCAAATTCTTGGGTTTTATCCAGAATCGATTCGTTCCGCCCTGACTTCATTCTCTGAAAATAAACCAACTGAGAATTGCAAAGTCAGAGTGACATGCCAACGCTGCTTATAAAATCTTCCCTTCCTTTCTTTTTCAATGCCCGGCCATGCCAAGCAATTTCCCCGGAAAGAGCCATCGATTAAATTTAAACCTGTTTTGCAAGGAGACTTTTTTTTTTTTGCAATTTGCAATTTTTAGCCTGTACTTTTGGGGGAATCGAAAAACAAATCTTTCCGGGGCTGTTTAAAAGGGGATTTCCGTAGTTAAGTCTCGAGGTTTCAATATGTCTTCCCCAGAAAGCGGTTATTGCTAGAGTCAAAACGTAGGAGGGAAAAAGATTAGCTTGTTCAGGGTTGAGTTTGCAATTTGGGGAGGTTTTAAAGATATTTTTTTCTGTTTCTGTGGGAGATTTTCTTAATTAAAAAACCAAACCTCAGTATGAAGAAAATAGATTTTTACAGTATAAGAAGTATGAGAAGTCTGTTCACTTCTGCTAATTATCTATATCTATCTATATCTATATCTATCTATCTATCTATCTATCTATCTATCTATCTATCTATCTATCTTTATCTTCTATTTATTTAACTTCTATCTATCTACCTACCTATTTATCTTCTATCTATTTATTATCTGTCTTTATCTATCTTCTATTTATCATCTATCGTCTCTGTCTATCTTCTATCATCTATCTATCTTCTATCTATCTATCTATCTATCTATCTATCTATCTATCTATCTATCTATCTTTATCTTCTATTTATTTAACTTCTATCTATCTACCTACCTATTT